GCCTTTGAATTGTGTGCATCAGGGCTTTCATCTCAACAGCAGCAAGCTGGCCGGTACACCCTCAGATTCCCCCAGGTTTGCAGAACATCTATTCTCAGTTTGTGACTTGCCGCTGTCATGTTTTGCAGTCCAGTAGCCACATTACCCAGGGAGCTCCTGCTTTCCCTAAGAATTGACGAAGACTGAGAGTTCATTCTGCTTGCCCTTGCTTTTAGCTCAGTCGTGTTCCTGTCCCCTGCCCTTGGCCTGGCTTTGCATAATTTGGTTTGGTTCGTAGCAGAAACCCAAAATTCAGTGGCCCTAGTTTCTAGTTCACAGGCAGCTGAAATTTCACAATGGGAGCTTTCAGTGTCTTGTTTTTGCAGTGCTGGGCACGAAACCCAAGGTCTCATCACATGCTGGACGGCTGCTACCACTGAGCTACATCCTCAGCCCGCGGAGCCCTTCGTTGGCGGTGTCACCCTTTCCAGCTGCTGAATGTCACATGGGGTGGCTTGTTTTTTCTTTTGAGACAAGGTCTAACTGTATAGCTCAGGCTTTTCTCATACTCACGGTTCTCTTGGCTCAGCCCCCTGCGTTTTGGGATTATAGGGATGTACCATGGTGCCTGGCTGCAACAGCTTATTTTGGATGGACACATACTAAAGATTTGTTTCTTTTTTCTTTTGGCTTTTTGAGACAGGGTCTCGTTATGTGTCCCAGGCTGGCCTTGAACTCACTGAGATGCTCCTGCCTCAGCTTCCTGAGTGCTGGGATTACAGGCTTGCACTACCATACCTCTCCTCCTAAAGATTTCTTTAACCCAGTTTTATTTTAAAGTAAGAAACAACCCCTATTCAAACGTCGTTCAGCAAATACCTCTTTTCTTCTCTGCAGTGAGTAGTCCTGTGAAGAAGTGCCTCTGGTACTAATGAGGACAACCTAATATATTCCTAAAAGCATTGGTGTTAGCAGAAAAATCATCCAGAAAGAGCCCAGCACAATAACATAGTATAGAAACCAGGAAAAAAAAAACCCCAAACCACAGGGGCCAGACGCATGGAAGTCTTGATTCCGGCTCTGAGGTCTTGGGCAAGTGGCTTCTCTGAGCCTGTTTTCTTACTGGAAAGAGATGGCTGCACGTGATCGCCGTGGACCATGAGAGATAAAATGCACACGAGGGCCTCGTCCGTAATAGCTGGCATCATTGGCCCTCGCGGGGCGAGGTGTGACCTAATGCAGTGCCGGGCAGCGTGGCCGTTCACCCCTTGTTAGAGCTGTGGTCTTCTCTCCTCCGGGGGGCCAGGCTCCCGCCAGTCCCCTGCCCTGCGCTGCCCCAGGCGTCCCGCAGGCTCCAGACCCCACGCGGCTGGTGGTGTGTTAGGGTTTTCCTCTCTGCCGTCGTTGGTTTCGTCCTCCTCACTGGCGGCTGGTCTGACTTTCACCTCTGGTTCTTCCTCAGAAACGAGCCTCCAGGCCCTGCAGAACATGCCCAAGGTGCTCCGGGATGTGGAAGCCCTCAAACAGGAGGCGTCTTTTCTGAAAGAGCAAATGATCCTTGTCAAGGAGGATATCAAAAAGTTTGAGCAGGACACCTCACAGTCGATGCAGGTATTTTGGCTCCTGGCTTACGTGCCGGTGCTTGCTTTGGGCAGCATTCACTCTCCTGAAGGGCTGAGAACCCTCGGCGTCGTGGGGGCCAACTGAACTCTGACTTCTTATTTGCCTTGTTGGGACTGGAACCCAGGGCTTCATGCACGTTAGGCAAGCAGTCTAGCACTGAACTGCTCCACCTGCCCGTTTTTGTTGTTGTTTTTGAGACAGGGTCTCACTGTGTATCTCAGGCTAGCCTCAGATGTGATCCTCCTGCCTCAGCCTCCCTACCCAACCGTTTTCTTTTTTTCTTTTTTTTTTTTTTTGGTTTTTCTCCAGTACCAGGAACCAAACTCACGACCTTGCGCATGCCAGGCAGGCGCTTTTGCCGCTGAGCTAAATCCCCAGCCCCCCGTTTTCTTTTTTTAATTTTACTTTGAGACAGGGTCATACTAAATTACCCATGTTGGACTCAAACATGGCTGGGCGTGGTAGCACCCTGCTGTAATCCCAGCACTGTGGGAGGCTGAGGCAGAAGGATCAAACATTTGAGTCCCACCTGGGGAACTTACTGTGAGCCTGCCTCAAAAAAAAAAAATTATAAAAAGGACTGGCGGTGTACCTCAGCGCAGAGACTCTGCGTTCAGTGCCCAGTGCTGCAAAAACAGACGAAAACAAAAGTGCGCAAAACCTGTGACTCTCCTGCCTCAGCCTCTCAAGTAGCTACCGTTACAGGCGTGTCCCACTGTGCCTGGTGTGAACACAGGGCTCCACCCAGCACTCAGAAAACCCTTTCGCACGGTTCCTTCCGCTCACTCATCTCTTCAGCACCTGCCGAGCAGAATGAGCCGGGTGACTGGCTTTGGGGAGGCCGCGGCGCTGCATGTCCCCGCCGGCGCAGAGAGGGAGCCGTCGCCTCACTTCTGGCGCTTGCGTCTCTCTCAGGTGTTGGTTGAGATCGACCAGGTCAAGTCCAGAATGCAGCTCGCTGCGGAGTCTCTTCAGGAGGCGGACAAGTGGAGCACGCTGAGCGCCGACATCGAGGAGACCTTCAAGACTCAAGTGGGCCTCTCCCTTTCTCTCTTCGTTCTTTCTCTCTCACTCGCTCTCTCGCTCTCTTTCTTTCCCGCTTTTCTGCTTTCTTTCTCTGTTGGTTTTTGACACAGGTTCTCACAATGTGGTCCAGGCTGGCCTTGAACTCACTATGTAGCCCAGGCTGGCCTCACACCTGCGGCAGTCCTCCTGCCTCGGCCTGCTGAGTTCTGGGATTACAGGCCTATGCCACCACGCCTGGCTTCCAGTAGGCTTCTTACTCAGGGGATGTTGTGAAACTCATTTAGGCCGAAACCCAAGGTTTGGAGGCAGCAGGCGAGGGAGGCCTTCGCAGAACCTTGCTGCATACCGCAGTGACATGCAGAGGCATGCAGACTTCAGGCGGGCAGGTCTGAAGCCGCAGCACACCGAGCACTTCCGGCTCCTTTAGTTTCACCCTCTGCCTGACTGAACCCTAGAGTGGTTCAGAAGGAGCCGCAGCACACTGCACAGGTGGGGAGATGCGGGGACAGGAGGGTGCTGGTGACTGAGGGCTTGCCACCTGGCCGCATGGGCCTCGGAAGCTCGGCCAGTTACTAACCCTTCTAGGGCCTCACACAATGGGAGAAAGCAGCCTTTAAAACCTGCTGTGAAGGAGAAGGTGAGATGATTTCTTAGGACAACATTTTTCAGCTGTAAAGCAAAAACCACCATAAACCTGGCCCTGCAGGCCCCTAGTGCTCTTTGACGCCTGTCCTTCCAGAGGTCCCAACCCCCACGGCAGCACAGTGTGTACGCGCGTGAGCGTCCCTCGGCCGTGCACCGCTCCCCGCAGTCCCGGGACCCTCAGTGCAGCGTGGCCCTGCTCTGTCCCGTCTGTTCCAATCTTCGGGGGGCGTCACAGGTTTCACGGATCCAGGCCTCAGATCTAGTCTACAAATCTGACTGTGTTCCTGGAACACGGGTGTGGGAGGGAGCGGATTTCAATAATCCTAAGCTACTGATGTTAATCAACTGAAGAGTAGAGGTCTTGTTTTGTCTCATTTGCTGTTACTGTTTTAATACTACAGCTAGGGGCTGGGGATTTAGCTCAGCGGCAAAAGCGCCTGCCTGGCAAGTGCAAGGTCATGAGTTCGGTTCCCGGTACCGGAGAAAAACCAAAAAAAAAAAAAACAAAAAAAAAAACTTTAATACTACAGCTAAGTGCCCCATGACCATATATATGCAGCTCGATTCCCCCGACAATCCAAAACGTGGATTTTTTTCTTTTTTTGGTTTTGGGGATTAAACCTGTGCCTTGCATGTGTTAAGCAAGTGCCCTACCACTGAGCTACATCCCCAGCCCTTTTTATTTTTTTTTGAGACAAGCTCTTGCTAAGTTGCCCAAGCTGGCCTTGAACTTGTGATCCTCCTGCCTTAACCTCCTAAGTAGGTGGGATTACAAGCATACACCACTGTGCCTGGATCAAAAGCTGAATTTTTTATTTTCAAAGTCACCAACCATTTATTCTTTCCTGTGCCTATCATGGATAACAGAGTCAGTTTCCATCCAAGCATTTAGACCAAAAACCTCAGATGGCCTCAACTCTTCCCTCTCCCCCATTCAGTTTGTTTTGTTTTTTTGAGGCAGGGTCTCACTTTGTAGCCCAGGCTGGTCTCGAACTCACAGCGGTCCTCCTGCCTCAGCCTCCTGAGTGCTGGGATTACAGGCGTGCGCCACCACGCCTTCTTTGCAGTGGAGAAGACCTCTGTTTGTTCCTGCAGTACAGCCACAGTGCCTCCTTCCCTCAAAGCTCTCCCTGCTGGCTCCTTACTTCTCACAGGCAAAACTGGTAGCTTCTATAATACGCCACTCTTGTGAAACCGCGTGGTAATCTTTTCCAGTGTATTATGAGTTCATCCTTGTCAGTGTTACCTTACTCATCTTTGAGTCCGATATCTAATGCGGTGTCTGACACCTCCGCCTCCCGAGTGCTGGGACCACAGGCGTGCGCCACCACGCCCGGCTATCGACTCTACACATTGCAGAATTTCCTTTCGGTGTGGCCCTGTGTAATACCAGACAGATCTTTCTTCGTTGCACCCTTACTAGTCATAACTATTATAATATTTCAAATGCTTTCCCAGTTCACTAGAAGAGAATGGCACTCATTGTTTTAATTTGCATTTATTTATTGGTAAAGTTGAACGTCGTGTGTAATGGGCCGCTTGTTCATCGCCTCAGTTTCCCTCTCGTGTATCTTACCCATTCCTCGCTGAGGTGCCGGGGTCTCTTACCTGAGGACCCTCTCCTCTTCTAGGACATCGCTGTGATTTCTGCCAAGCTCACTGGCATGCAGAACAGCTTGGTGATGCTCGTGGACACCCCGGACTACTCGGAGAAGTGCGTGCACTTGGAGGCGCTGAAGAACAGGCTGGAGGCCCTCGCCAGCCCGCAGATTGTGGCCGCGTTCACCTCGCAGTCTGTAGGTGAGCGTGGCCGCTTCTCATCTCCGAGCACACTTGGTTACAAGGGAGCGAGCTGAGTGTGGGCTTGCAGACCTGTATTCTCAGTACTCAGTAGGCGAAGCAGGAGGAATTTGAGTTAAAGGCCAGCCTGGGCTACGTTTTCATTTCCTTTTTGATCTTTGGAGAAATGTCTCTTTAGTTCCTCTGCCCATTTTGTATTGGGTTATTTTGTGGTTTGTTGAGCTGGTAGGAGTTTTCATATGTTCTGGATATTAATCCCTTGTTGGAGATATGATTTCCAAATATTTTCTCTCATTCTGTTGGGTTGTCTTTTTCACTCTATTCATTGTATTCTTTTTGAAATTTATTTTTTATGTTTTAAAAGTATTCTTTTTTTTTTGAAACAGGGTGTCCCTATGTTGTTTATGCTGGTCTTGAGCTCACTTTGTAGCCCAGGCTGGTCTCATAGCAGTCGTTCTGCCTCAGCCTCCCAAGTACTGGGATTACAGGTGTGTGCCACCATGCCTTACTAAAAGTGTTCTTTGCATAAGTAGTTAATTTTTTTTTTTTTGGTACTGAGGATTGAACTTAGGGCCTTTGCCCTAAACTACATCCTCAGCCTTTTTTATTTTTTATTTTGAGACAGGGTCTTGCTAAGTCACTGAATGGCCAACCTGGGATCAAACTTGCGATCCTCTTGCCTCAGTCTCCGGAATGCTGGCATTACAGGCGTGCGCCACCACAGCCAGCTAGATACTTAATTTTGATGTAGCTCAAGTTATTTTCCATGTTGTTTCTGTGGTTTTGTTGTCAAATGCCTGGAATCACTGCCGAATCCCGTCAAGAAGCTCTCCCTTTTTTTCTGCGAGTTGTAGTTTTAGCTCCTATGTTCAGTCTCGGACACATTTGAGTTAACTGTGTGTGTTGGTTCTGGGGACTGCGTCTAGGGCGTCGTGTGTGCGAGGCAAGCCGCCTGCCACTGAGCTACCCCAGCCTTTCCGCTCATTTCTGTAGTATATGGTTGTAGAGTTTACCTTCTTTAGCTGGACGTGGTGGTGCATGCCTGTAATCGCAGCACTCTGGGGACCGAGGCAGGAGGATCTCTGTGAGTTCAAGACCAGCCTGAACTACAGAGCAAGACTCTGTTTCAAAAAAAACCCAAAGTTTACCTTCTTTGTTTTGCATGTTGAAATTCAGTTTTCTGATCACCATTTGTTGAAAAAGCTGTCCTTTCCCCATTGAATGATCCGGGGACTCTTGCTGAAAATCTTACCCACGTGTACTGAGGTCCTTATCCTGAGCTCTCTGTTCTCTTGCACTGGTCTCTGTGTCTGTACTTATGCCTGGACTGCACTGATTTCCTTGTAACTTCTACGAACAGGACCGGGGGTATAGCCCAGCGGCACAGCACCTGCCTGGCAAGTGTGAGGTCGTGAGTTCGAGTCCTGGTTCCAAAAAAAAATTAAAAAATAAAAGCAGACTATTTCAAGGTGGGGGAAGGGGAGGGAAAGAGAGAGAGAGGGAGGGAGGGAGAGAGGAGAGATTAACAACTTCATTAGGTTATTTTCCAGTTTTGAAAATTTAGAATTTTCCCAGAACATAGTGCATACCTTTTTCATCTGCTAAGTCACCTTTCCTGTCTTTTAGAAAATTCCTTCCTGTACTTTCCTCATTGTTGTTCCGCCTGTTTTTCGATGCATTTCAGAATATTAACTTTGTGATAGGTTTTGAAATCAGGAAGTATGAGACTTCCAGCTCCGTTCTGTTCCCAGGTGATTTGACTATTCAGGGACCCTTGACATTTCTCCCCGCCCCGCCCCCGGAGAAAATGTTTTTGTTGTACGTGTTAGGTACACATCATGATCACATTCAGCACAGGGAATTTGTACCTGCACATGATACAACTTGATTCTTTTTTTCCCCATTCCCCCCGCTCCCCGCAGCCCCTCTTCCCCTCTCTATTTTCACAAGCTTTGTTTCCATTATTTCCTTCTTTTCTCATTTTTGTTTTGCTTTTCCCTTCCTCCCCTTCTCCCCGCTCCCTTGTTCCCCTTCCCATTTGGACGTTTTCTTCCTATTTCACAATGTCTGTTACACGTTTTAGTTGTTAAGCACACTTCCGGTTTCTCACACCAGAGAAACAATGCAGTATTTACACATGCGTAGGGACCCTTGAAATTTCATATGAAAAGAATTTGTTGAAAGAGTCTTGCTCTATAATCCATGCTGGCCTTGAACTCACTATGCAGCCCAGGCTGGCCTCGAACTCACGGCATCCTCCCGCCTCAGCCTCCCAGGGCCGGGATTACAGGCATTCCCCTTATCTAGCCTTTTCATACGAATTTAAGGATAGATTTTTTTGCAGCTCTTCTGCAAAAGACGTTGTTAGGGTTTGGGTAGGAATTGTATTAAACCTGTAGATCACTTTGTGTAGTATTGACATCTTAAAGATACTAAAGCTTCCAATCCGTGAACATGAGATGTCATTCCACTTATTTGTCTTTAATTTTTTTTTAGCAGTGCTTTGTAGTTTTCAATCTTTCTGCTTTTTGGTTAAATTTATTCCTAAGTATTTTATTCTTTTTGATGTTATTATAAATGGAATTTAAAAATTCTTTGTGAGAAATAACTGTGTTTTTGTATATGCACCTTTACCAAATTTATTAGTTCTAATAGGATTTTGTGACATCTTTAGGGTTTTTCACATGTAAAATTGTGTCTGCAAACAGATAAATTAAATTCTTACTTTTCTTGTTTTGTTTTTTGAGGCAGCATCTTGCTCTGTAATTCAGGCAGGTCTTAAACTCACTACATAGCCCAAGCTGGCTTTGAACTCACAGGGATCCTTCTGCTTCAGCCTCCCAGTGCTGGGATTATAGGAATGTGCCACCAGGTTCGGCTAATTCTTACCTTTCTATTTGAACTTCTTTTATTTTCCTTGCCTAACTGTTCAGATTAGGACTGCTAGTACTATGTTGAAGAAAACTGGAGACCGTGGGCATCCTTGTTTCACTGGAAATGATCTTCACCATTGAATATTTAGTGTGCTGTGGGTTTTTCAGAATTATATCACCTGTGTTATGTTCCAGGATTTAAGAGATAGGAGGGACCAAGGGGACAAACTGGAGGGTTTATTTCAGGTGTACACTGGCTCAGCTCATAAATCCAAAATGGCTCAGCAAGTGATGAAGGACAGGCTGCAGCTTTACACGTGTGGTCAAGGGGGCTGGCCTTCGGCATGGAACTCGTGGGCAGGCGGAAGGAGAGCAAAGGCAGTTTGTCAGGCTGTGACAGTTTTGTATCTTGGTGGCCCTGCTCAGACATAACGGGATGCTATGGGAACAGGAGGCTATAAAATTTCACTTACAGGGACAAAAGTTACTGCTGTTGCTTGTGTGTGCTAGTGTTTTTATCATGAAAGAGAATTGAATTTTGTTAAATGCTTTTTCTGTAGCAACTGACAAGTGTTTTTTTGTTTTGTTTTGTTTTGTTTTGTTTTGCTTTTTTTGGTACTGGGAATTGAACTCATGACCTCAGGCTTGCCAGGCAAGTGCTCATGCCTCTGAGCTGTATTCCCAGCCCTTTCCGCATCAACTGAGATGATCATTTTTTCTCTTCATTTTGCTAATGTAGTGTATTTGATTGATTCCTCTTTTTTTTGTTTTTTTTTTTGAGACAGGGTCTTGCTATGTGGGCCAAGCTGGGCTCGAACTCACAGCAGTCCTTCTGCCTCAGCCTCCTGAGTGCTGGGATCGCAGGCACGTGCCACCACGCCCACCTTGATTGATTCTTGTATGTTGATTCATCTGTGCACTCAGGGATGAACCCCACCTGGTCACAGCGTGCAGTACTTTTCATGTGCTATTAAACTCAGTCTCCATTGACCCCCCCACACACACACAAAAGAAAGGAAATTAGGGAAGAAGAAAGCAAAGTGAAAGATTTGTTCTCACGGTTTGTGTTTTTAGGAATTTGCTCATTTCACCCGGCTCGTTCAGCACACTGCTGTGTAACTGTGCAGGGTGTTCTCTTACGACCCTTTTCAGTTCTCTAGTGTTGGTAGCACTGCTTCCCCTGCTAGTATTGTTATTACTGAATCTGGGTAAAAGTCAAATTTGTTGATTTCTTTTTCAAAGGACCAGCTCCTGGCTTGATTGTTTTCTTTGGTTTCCCACTTCTTGCTTTGTGTACCTCTGTTCTAATCTGATTATATCCGCCCTTCTGCTATCTTTGGATTTTGTTTACCCTTTTTCTTTAAAATGCAGAGTTAAGGGCTGGGGATATAGTGCAGTGGCACAAGGGCCTGCCTGACAAGCGTGAGGTCCTGGGTTTGATTCTTGGTACAAAAAAAAGGATGCAGAGTTAGGTCTTTGTTTTTTAGGGTATCTGCAGCTGCGAGTCGTAATTAGCACAGGGGTCAGCACGGCTTTTGCTGCATTCATAAATTTGATGTGTTGTGTTTTCTTTTCCATTTGTCTGTAAGTATTTTCTGATTTCCCTGTAATTTGGTTTTTAAAGATAGTAGGTTAATTTTCACGTATTATGAATTCTCCAGTTCTTTTCCTTTTGATTTCTATTTTTTTCTATTGTGATGGCAAAAGATACTATATGACCTCTATGGTTTCAGTTCTTTTTTTTTGAGACAGGGTCTCACTATGTAGCCCAGGCTGGCCTCCGACTCACAATAGTCCTCCTGCCTCAGCCTCCTGAGGGTTACAGGCATGCGGCACCATGCCTGGCGATTACAGTCTTAAAATTTATTAAGACTTCTTTTATGGTCTAACGCATGGTCTATCCTGATGTGCACTTGAAAAAAAACACACATATTCTGCTCCTATAGGGTAGGCAGTCTGTCACATCAAATTGGTCTGTATTTTGGTTCAATTCCTCTGTTTCTTTATTGATTTTTCTCCCTAGTTCTTGAAATGCTGTCTTGATAGAGCTTCTGCATGTTCTGTTTGCCGTATTGGCAAGTTCTTCTTTATTATTCATTTAAAGAAATACATTTTATTTGTTAGGTAAAGATTTAAAAAACTGCGATTATATATTTAGAGCAGTCACCTTATAGAACTTACCTTCTAAAAATATTTTTTTGTTTTGTTTTGCTTTTTTGTACCGGGAATCAAACTCAGGACCTTGTGCTTGCCAGGCAGGCACTTATGCAACTGAGCTATATCCCCAGCCTCAAAAACATTCTTTGACATATAAGTAAATGTTAACAGCATTTTAACAAAGTGTGATAGTATTTTTTGTTGTTGTTGTTGAGACAAGGTCTCGCTATGCAGTTCAGGCTGGCCTTGAGCTCACTATGTAGCCCAGGCTGGTCTCGAACTCGCAACGATCCTCCTGCCTCAGCCTCCCGAGTGCTGGGATTTCAGGTGTGCGCCGCCACGCCCGTCTTAAAGTGTGATAGTGTTAGAGGCAGTTTTTTTTCTTCCTCAGTTTTCCATTTTTTCCATCATGGACGTGCTCCTGATCATGATGAGAAACAGCTCTGTTTAAGCAATCATTTAGTGCAATTCTTGAGTGCCTACTGTACTTTGTGCCGATTTTTGGGAACAGTGAAGCGAGACAGGAAATGCCACTGCCTCCCGGAGCTTACGTTTCCATGGAGGAGAAAGAGAACACGCGATTCTGTAAGTAAGCAAACACTGTGCGCAGAGCTGTGATTCGCTCCGTGAGGGGTGATGCAGCAGGGGCAGCGGAGGGAGCCTGACTCGGCGTGGCTGACGACGGCCAGAGCACCGTCCCAGGAGTAGCAAGTATGAAGGCCTCGAGGAAATGAAGGGCGAGGCCTGACGGAAGGCGCTCCTCTCAGCGCTTCTCATCCCATAGAAGCGTCAGGCTGAGGTGAACGGAGTCGCCGCCAGCGGCTTGACATTTGCTTTGGCTGCTCAGTCCTGCCCCTGAGCGCAGGTGACTGAAGTTCTCGGGTTAAATTAGTTACTGCTTACACAGCGCTGTTTCTCGTCATGATCAGGAGCATGGCCATGATGGAGAAAATGGAAAACTGAGGAGGAGGAAAACTGCCTCTAGCACTGTCACGCTTCGTTAAAGTGCTGTTAACATGTACGCATCCGTCACAGAGTGTTGTAGAAGGCAGGTTCTGTAAGGTGTGCCGGGCTCTGGGCTGCGGTTTCCTCTCCTGTAAAACGACGGTGATCAGTGAACTGTTTCAGATGCGGTCGCCCACCGCTTACGATTCTGATGGAGCTGGGGCTCAGCAAGGCCGGGGAGCGTGGCCTTGGGCGGCCCGGGAGCGCCGCCTTTGTCTCACGCTCCAGGTTTGCCCCCGACGGTTCCCAGGCCCGATTGCAGTTCATTTCCCACTTGCGGCTGCCCGGGCCCGTGCCGTCGTGTAACCTTAGCTGTGCGAGTGGTTCTCACAGATGCGCTGTTTTAACAGGCCGGGGCTTTGGTGTCTGACTGTCAAGTCACATATTTTGCTCTCGACTTCACTTATTTCTTGTGTTTATGATCCCGTGAGTTAATTCATTATCAAGGTAGAAACCTTTGAGTGCTAACTTGTAAATTTATTTATACATATTTATTTATTTCTTGGCTGCACCAGAAAACCTGATAATGTATGTACATATTGTGTGTTCTTTAGATCAGTCCAAAATGTTTGTGAAGGTTTTTACTGAAATTGACCGGATGCCCCAGCTCCTGGCTTACTACTACAAATGTCACAAGGTAAGAAGCCAGTTCAGTTCCAGGGTGCTGGTGGCACCCGGCTCCTGAAGTCCTGTTTTTGTACTCAGGTGAAAAACGCCTTTGACATCGGGCTGTGTTTCTCCTAGTTAGCCAGTAGGGGGTGCCCTTGGTCCAGGCTATGGATGCATTTAACTGCCAGTTGGAAAAAGTTAAGAGGTTTTTGTCCTGTCTTATTTACAACTGCATTCATTTACAAAGTTGAAAAGTTATTTTAACTTATTCAAAATTTTGTCCTCTTTTTGGGTAGTACTGGGAAGTGAACCTGGGGCCTTTGCACTCAGCCACATCCCCAGCCCTTTTTTCATTTTTTATTTTGACACAGGATCTCACTAAGTTGTCCAGACTGGCTCAAACTTGAGATCCTCGTGCTTCAGCCTCCCAGAGTGCTGGGATTACAGCCATGTGCCCCTATACCCAGCGCATTTTTGTCTTCTAAGGAAGATTCTTGTCTCGGCTTCCTTGTGTCCTCAGTAAGCCATAATAACTTAGCGTGTTTTCTAAGGCTATTGAAGTTCGGTTACCAAAAGTCGTGGTAGCTTCCCGGGCTATAACCTTAGTTCCCTCAGGGCCATCGCCTGTGTGCGTGTTAAGCAGTAGGGTTAGGGCAGGAAGTGTCAGCACTCACGCCACGTCTGAGGCCTGCTGGGCGCTGTGCCGACGGCGAGCGCCTTGGCACACTGCAGGGAAGGGCAGAGGAGCGGGGTCGGGCAGAGCTGGCAGAGGGAGGCTTCGCGTGCTTCTCAGAGCAGGTGATTGTCGCTGCCCAAAGTGTGGACCTCCTGGGTACTGGAGCGCGCACGCGGGCAGCGGCGATGCCCACTTGCCTTGGCGGGGGCGGGGCACTTTCGGCAGGCCGCACTATGCCCAGGGAGACTCTTTTGCTCTGCCTCTGTAGGTGCAGCTTTTAGCAGCCTGGCAGGAGCTGTGCCAGACCGACTTGCCCCTGGACCAGCAGCTCACCGGTCTCTACGACGCCTTGCTCGGCGCCTGGCACACACAGACCCAGTGGACTGCGCAGGTAACAGCTCCTTTGGGGGCTGGGAGCGTGCAGCCTGTGATGGCAGGACGAGGCGATCGGGAGCCGCTGGCCCCTCACCGGCGGGCACCCCCTGAGGAATCTCCCACGAGCTCCCATCGCCCGGGCGGTTAAGCCGCCAGCTGGGAACCCCGTGAGAGAAAGCCTGGTCTCCACCGAAGCGCCGCTTCTCACCTTGTCTGCATCTTAAACAGAGTCTAGTGTGACCGTGCTGCCCGCTGCTCACCAGCAGCCTTGGGACTCCTGAAAGCCATCATCGGATCTGCGGGCAGGGGCCCGTCGGGTGGTGGCGGAGCGAGCAAGGGTGTTTTTATCTGAACCGAAGGTGAGGTTTCCTGGCAGGCAGTTAGCTTCCCGCACTCGCTAACCAGAGGGGAGGGGAGGCCGGCGTTTCCGGTAGAGCTTTCCTCCCTCATCGGACACTTCCGGGCCTTCCCTGCTGTAGGGTACGCATCCTCGTGCCCTCGTCTCGATGCCGCGGGCACGCAGGCCCCCCAGAAGGGCCAAAGCCCAGACCCTTGGCAGTGATGGAGCCCTGGCCTGCATGTGGCGCGGCTTATGAGCATTTTCCTCTCGGTTGGTCACAAGTCACTCTTCAGGTGCTCTGCAGTCCCTTACTGGAATGAACGTGACGTCATTCAGCCTCGTTAAAGCGCTTTTCTCCATCCTGGTTCTCCTTGAATGAACCTAATTTGGACTTAGTTGCTTTCGTTTGTTTGTTTGTATTTACTTATTTAACTTACTGGCCTTCTTGCGGAGCTACATCCTAGCGCTTTATTTGTTTGTTTATTTTGAGATAGGGTCTCACTGAGTCATTCAGTTGCCCAGCTGGGTTTAAACGTGCCACCCTCCTGCCTCAGCCAGCACAGTGCTGGGATTACGGGGCTGTGCCACCAGGCTTGGTTTCGATTTTTTTTTAAAGCAGAAAATAGCTACCTGTAGAAGTGTCACAGTTTTCTGCAGTCATCCGTTCTCAGTGAGCGCCTCCATCCATGCTCATTTGCATGTCTTTGGTTCTGCTGGTGTCACGAGGATAGAAGTAGCTTGTTCCTGTACGTACCAACGTCCTTTTGCATCAGAGAAAAAGAACTTAAGACTTCTCACAGTGTTCTTCAGACCTCACCTCAATTCTGTAAGGCGTGTGTTTATGCTCATTTATTTTTTTATTTATTTTTTTTGTTTGTTTGTTTTTATTTTAAAGACTAAAAGAAGGATAACATAATAATAGCGGGGACTTAGCAAATTACAGACAAAATGGTAGGAAATTATCAATGGTTATTGTTTTACATATTGTTATCTACAAAATAGTTTCTCAGGAAAACAAATAGACAAATAATA